CCCCAAAACCCCAAAACCCCATATACCCATATTTGAATTGAATATCTAGGGTTTAATTTTAATAATTGAAAACAATGCTCTCAAATAAATTAGAGCTAATAATTATTGATTAAAAAGAAAATGACATTACTCATACACTTACTTTTAGGAATTGGAGTTAATTAGATTTTGGCGAGAGAAACTGTAAATCTAAATCTTATAAAGAATGAGAAAAACGAGATCAAGTTGGCATTCGGTTCATGCTATGGAATCTTTGATAGAAAGAGTGACATTTTTAAAACTATTACTGAAAACGATCCTGCACTATGGATATGGCTAGGAGATGCTGCATATACTGATAATGTCAGACTTGCAGGAGGTACAAAATTTTTCTTAAACATTTTAGTGCTTAAAGATAACTCCATGCCTACAAACTATGCATAACATAGATTTGAAATGACTATTGAAGATAAGTGTAAAGCATTTATGCCGTAAAAGAATTTTAGATTATCAAAAACTATTATAAAAGACACCAGTTGTGGGAGTATGGGATGATCATGATTATGGTTGCAATAATGGGGATAAGACATTTAAAAATAAAAGGCAAATGAGAGATATATTTTTAGACTTTATTGGAGAACCTAATAATACATAGAGAAGACTTGAGATAGATACAGGGATCTATTAGGACTATGTCTACTTTGACAATGAAGAGAACATTAAAATTCATTTGATTTTGGTAGATATCAGATATGACTTTGATGAAAAGACTTAAGATAGATTTGGAGAAGAGTAATTAGCATGGCTTGATAGAATACTTGGAGAGAACAAAGATAGTAACTTGACTCTCATAGGAATGGGCGTCTAAGCTTTAGTAGATAGATATTTCTTTACAGAAGCTATTAATTGGAAATCAAAGGAAATGCTTTTTGATTTGATAAGAAAACATTAAAAGAGTGGAGTGTTTGTTTTATCTGGTGATGTCCACTTTGCCTAGTTCTATCATACTAATTGCAAAAGCTTAACTGGTTATGATGTTTAAGAATTAACATCTAGTGGAATGACTCATCATGTGAATAGCTTTTTTAAAATTGGTCATCATGTACTAAACTATGTCACCCCTCTTTTTTGGAACGTAAGATTGATTTAATTTTCTTAAAATTTGAAATACAAATATAGTCAAGTTAGGTATATGTTAACTATAATTTTGGATTGCTAAAGACTAGAAAAATTGGAGATGACTTAGAGTTTACTATCTAAGTAAAAACCCTAGATGATTAAATTGCTCTTGAAAAGGTATTAATGATTAACAGAGATATGAAATATGATGAGGAAAATAATAGATATCAAGGAATGTGCAAAGCAATTCACTCCAAAAGCAGAATAGGAATCTAGTTTCATCACTATTTGTATATGTTTATTGTTAAGAGACATTGGTTGATGTACCTATTAATAATGAGTATATTTGGTGTAAAGTCTTTGCTTTTAGCTGGAGTTATTAGATTAATAAGAAAAACTTCAGGGTTATGCAGATAGAGCAAAGTCAAGGTTAATTGACACTAATTAAAATATGAAAATATATTATCTATATTTCTCAAAATGATGACTAGTGGGGTTTTGGGGTTTTGGGGTTTTGGGG